ATCTACCAGGCTATGGAGCAATTGGAGTGAGGGGACAGCGGGGACAGGGGATAAACAGTGAGAAAAAGAGTCTCCTCTGTATGTCTTGCTCAAGCTGTGTCACCAGGCACTAATCCTGTGGTCAGGCAGGAAGAATGAGTAAGAGGAACCTCTAGCCTTGCTGATAGCCATGGGGTTCCACCAGGAGGAGCTGGCTTCTGCCTCCTTTCACAAACATTCTTTGTGTAATTTTCCTGCTGGCTCTCAGTCAATAAAGGTATAATCAACATGGTGAGCAAAGTGGTGACACAGTTTTCCATACCAGTCCATTTTTCAATACAGACCAAGCAAGTTGACTCCAATTCCCGTCAGGTGGGCTCCCATCCATAAGACATGTTCCAGTGGCAAAGGGTGAGGATGAACCTACAGAACAATCCGTATTTTTGATGAAGGTTGTACACAGTAGAGTGCAATGTGTATCTGAGATTGCCAGACTCCTCTGAATAAAACAAAAAACACAGCTGTGAGGGCTTGGTTTTTTAAGTCTTACTTGTTACAGGAGTTCAAAAGAATCTGTGCTTCTAGTTCTGAGCTACTACAGGACTCCCACAAGGATGGGAAACATTCCCAGAGCAAACAAGTAGACCTACCTTTTTCATAATTTCCCAGTGGGAACTGGTGATGGTTGTTTGCTACAATTGTCATCAGCATTTTTTTTAACTTCTTGGAATAACTAAACTCTTCCACAAGTAATCATGCTGGCTGATGCTGTGGGCTCTTCCTTCTGAGAAATTTTATCAAATGCAATCAAGCTTGGACAACTTCCTAAGCTATCTGCTGTATCTCAGCCACAAAGGAGAGAGTTCATGAGCAATCCCTTGCACAACAGAAAGGGAGAGCTCCTTCATCTGCAGGATTACTCTCATGTGGGGGAAAAGATAAGAACTGGGGATTGCAAGGCACTGATCTGGCTTTGTGGCTTTTTCCAACTGTTTAGTGCATGAAAAATCTCCATTCCTGGGATTGCATAATAAGAGTAAGGGAAATGAGATCTCAGGGAGGGATTCAAAGATCATCAGGCAAAATTCCAGCTCTTCTTACTAACCCATTTTATGTCATCCTCATTCACACTTCTCATTCACCTTCTTTTGCCTGACGTGTGTGTTAGGATTTATTCCGGAGAAACTCAGAGTGACTCAGACAATTTTCCTTTGGCTTAAGAGTTGTCTGGATTTTAACAAGTCAAACCAGGCATGATGCTATCAGATGTTGAGAAACACAGAATGGAGCTGGTGTCTTCTGGAACAGAAGATACGAGGAAGGCTCAGCATGGCCCTGGAAGAACCTAAATGGGGAAAGATGTCTTATGGTTCCCAGAACTATATGAAGAGATAAAATTGAAGTTCCATTTCCATCTTTCATACTCCCTTGGTGTCCCAGGCACTGAACCGTCTGAGACAGGAGGGAAAATTTGTCCAAATACAGGATTGCTGGTTTCGCATGTGAAGGTTCAGCCCATGGGACACATAGCTATGGGAAAACCCTATTTTACCTTTACAAATATGTGCTCCAATGTGGCAAAGAAATAGAAATAGTGATGGTGGGAAACATGACCTAAAACCCAAATGTCCTCTAAAAATTGATCTGCTGGAGGGTGCTGGAGGGCCATGAAGATGCTCAGAAGGCTGGAGCACTTCTGCTAATAAGACAGGCTGAGGCAGTTGTGGTTGTTCAACCTGAAGAAAAGAAGAGAAGAGAAGGATTTGGAGAGACCTTAGAGTACCTTCCAGTACCTAAAGGGGCTATAAGAGAGCTGGAGAGGGACTTCTGACATGGATATGGAGTGATAGCACAAGGGTGATTGGCTTCAAACTGTCTGAGGGGGGAGGTTTAGATTAGAAGTTAGGAAGAAAGTCTTTATTGTGAGGGTGCTGAGACACTGGTACAGTTGTTTTTGTTTGAAGTACCTAAGAATCAGATGGATGCATAACTAATTTTGTGTTAGCATCACACCAGGGCTAATCCCTATCCCCAGGTCACCCAGAATTGTTAGACCTCTCCCCGTCATGATTTTGGCCAACTCCATCAAACTAGGGAACTTTTATTAAAATCTCTCTTGGCATTAGACATTCAAGCCAGAACATATCTCAGCTGATTCTTTTTTACCTGACCAATAAAATATCTGAGTACACAATTTTCCCATCTAACAGAAAATAACACTTTTTATTTCAGGTTTCAAAGAAAGAAAACAAAATTTAAAGATCTTTCTTTAGCAAAATTCAGAGGGTTTAAGCCAGATTCGTGTTTTTCAGTTCTTCCTTTCAAATCACCAGTCCTGGCAGTGCTGACTGCTGGACTTATATATATATATATACACATATACATATATGTAAAGAGAGATAGATATACATAACTATAGATATGCATATATATATACATATATACACTGGACTTTTATACATATATATATATTAGCTGGATCTCAGCAGAGGATTTAATTCCAATTTCTCCAGCTTTGAACTGGCATTTTGCTTTACTGAAACCAACTTTGACATGGCAAAGGCCTAACATGAGGCATGGAAAAAATGAACAAAATGGAAAACTAAACAAAAGCTTCCAGCTTAACAACTTCCCCTACCCAGAGCTATAAAAGGTGAACAGTGTAAAGACCCAGCTGAATGGATCCTTGCAGGAGACTGTTCATGTCTGGAGATACCGCCATGACGTTTACATGGAAAATCACCACCCAGATTAAGGGGGTTTCCCATGGTTTTCCCCAAAAAGCGTTTGGCTCATCTGAGTCCTGGGCACAGATTTCCTCTCTCTGGCTCCCTGGGGCTGCTCCTTGACAGAGCTCTCATGGTGTGATGGTGGTTCCCAAAAAGCAGGTCATGAGACATGGGTGCAGAGAGAGCACATAATGCAGATAAGCCCCACTTATGTGGAAATGCAGAGGGTGGAGAGGAACAACTGTGACATCTTCCTCATCCCCCCCAGTATCTCCTGCCTCAAGCCTCAGTCCCTCTGGATCAGAGCTGTGGTCGCTGGTGGGGGATGAGGGGATCACCCAGCAGATCTTCATGGAGTGACACACTTGGAGAAAGCAACTGAGCAGAGCCAAAAAAACTCTTTTCACCAATTTTTCATCCCTAATTGATGCTAAATACAAATCTCAGCAAATACTTGTTTGAGGATCATGGTCTGAGCAAACTCTGATATGGACATGGAGCATGTGGGTATTTCAGTGCTACTATGAGTAAGCACAGGGAGCATAGTTGTACCTTCTTGACCTAAACTTCTTAAGCAAACACACAGCTTGGGACCTGGCAAAGGCCATGAATATACAAGGGGTGCAATTTGAGAAGCTGCAGCCAGCCACAGGGTATGTCCTCTGTGACTCATGGCCTCTTGCAATCCCTTTTGCCTTTTCCAGTGTCACAATACCAGGACACTAGGTAGATTTCTGATTCTCTTTCCAGTACTGAAATCATGACTCAAGCCACCACCGGGCCTTTACATGTAATAAGCAAGAAATTCTGGTGAAGGGCTGCTCTTTCACAGCCCCAGGGAGTGCCCATCCTCCAGTGATGGTGTTCAGACTCTCTGTTCCCCAAACTGTGAATTAATTTGTTTGATGGGTTTTTTCTTTATTCTATTTCAGGGGTTGTACCATACAGTTTATAAGCCCGTTTCCTGCCTGCTAGCATAGCTCAAACTTTGGTGCTGCCTCATCCTACTCTGCACCCTGGGGTGCCAGAGCTGACCTTGGCCCTAAAAGCCTGGAAAACTGGGTGCAGGCAGTGTTCAGGAATAGGACTCACTGCTACAAATACAGCCCTGCAGAGGTCAGGGCTGGAAACAAGGCTGTGCTGCGAGGCTGACTCCAGAGTAAGCTTTCTTTTCCCAAGAAAGCAAAGGGACACGATTTTTGTCCAGAAGGGATGCAGAGCAGCAGGAAGAGGGAGTGAGTGTGAGTGTGTGTGTGTGTGTGTGTGTGTGTGTGTGTGTGTGTAAAGCTGGCTTGACACCTCCCACCTCCTTTCCCCCATAAGGGGGGTCTGCCAGTTCAGGAGTGGCACAGCCTAGCGCAAGTCCTGCCTCCTTCCTCCTCCTCCTTCCCTCCTCCTCCTCCCAGATGTTCCCTTGTGTGCAGCCATCTGTTGAGCTCCCTCCTCCCTCCTCCTGCGGGAAAGGGGGCAGTCAGCTTGCCCAGCCAGCTGCACGCCTTGGAAGAGGAGGAGGAGGGAGAAGGAGGAGGGAAGAAGGGGACAGCCGGCCCCAAGCCTTGCTGCTGCCGGCTCCCGGCGGCGCCCGCTCCCCGCAGTGGGAACCGGCGCTGCGCGGCCGCCCCGCCGTGGGAACTGGCCCGGCGGTGGGAACCGACCCCGGCCCCGGTGAGTCTCTCCTTGTGCCCCCAACCCCTCCCTGACCCCATCGCTTCCTTGCCTCGCTCCATCCCCACCCTGCCCCTTGCATGCCCTCTCTGTTCCCCCCCCCCCCTTCTCCGGGTGTGCAGAACCATAGAGGGCTCATTTTTGGGGAGGGGGCGAGCTGTCTGTATCGGAATGGCCTGAGCCCTCTCTATCGCCTCCCTGGGGATGCGCAGGGCCAGCCCAGGGGGTGCTTGCTGGGGAGCCCTCCCCAGCCTCAGAGCGCGGAAACTTTTTTGGTGCGATGAGTTACTCCTTGCGTGGGGGCTCAGCGGCCGGAGTTGCAGGGTAGGAGGCAGGACAGAAGTCTCGGGTGGAGATAAACTACTTTTTCCCCACCTCTGTTTTTTCCAAATGAGAATTTTGAGATGCAGGGGGTGCTTACGAGCCCCCAGCCCGCATGAAGCGTCTCCAGCTGGAATCCCTTCTCCTTTTCTTCCCCCAGTGGAATGGTGGGTTTGTAGAGTGCTCGGGATTGCCACGGCTGCAGAGTAATCCGAGCAGCAGCTGGAGGCTCCGCACCGCCTCCCGTGCTCGGCTTCGGGGCTTTGATTTCACATAGGGCTCCCTGTCTCCCTTCCCCTCCCTCCCCCTCTTTTCCCGGCCCTCCACTCTTCTCTCGGGGGCTTTTTGGTGGGGTTCAGGTGCTGGGAGGCTCGCAGGGTTTTGCAGCTTACTCAAGGTAAGGAGAGAAAAGAGAAGGGAAGGGATCGAAAGCATAGACGGGTCGGCTGGTTAGGGTGAAGAAGCTGGAAGGTGCAGAGCGGGGGTCTTTTCTCCCCGGGTTGCATTGATAAAGGCACGGCAAAGCTCCCTGCTAGGGAATTTCCCCTCTTTAAGTGGATTAAGCTGGAGGGGAAGGTGGGTTTGGGGAGGGGGGAGAGGAAGCAGACCAGGATTTATTCATTCTCTCATTGAAAAAAAAAAAAAAATGGAAGAAAGAAAGAAAGAGGGAAGCTGCTGGTTGTGACTTCTGAAGCAGAAGGTCGGAAAGCCCGGGGTTCCCCTTGTAGCGCACACACCCTGTAAACTTTTAAGCAGCTCCATGGAAACTTGTTATTAATGCTGCAGTCATTAAAAGGCACAGCCCACGGCAGATTTATTAGCTCAGTAAACCACAACACGTGCCAAGCTCTCTGGAAACAAAAGGGTCTGTCAACTTTAGTCCTCTTGCTTCGTATTTGAGAAGGCTGGGAGGAGAGCGGTGAGGATGGAGCTGGTGGCTTGTGTCGTGGGGAAGTGTCATCGCCTCCGTTAAGCGACGCTCTCCGCCGCGGTTAGCGAGTGTAATTTGGTGGCAGCGAAGACATCGCAGCACGGCGAGCCCTGCTGAGCTCACGCTGTTCATCGCGGCAGCGGGACGAACAGCCCCCAGTCTCCCGAATGGAAAGCTTTCCCCGTGTGCCTGCCATGATAAATCAGCCGCCGTGAGCCTGAATAACAGCATTCACTGAACTTACAGTAGGAAACTTGTCTGGGCGGACACTGTGCCATTGCTCTGCAGAGAGCAGCCGGTGCCGATGGCTGGCGTTGCGCTGAAATATCGCATTGATCGCCGCTCCAAGGGTCAGCTGGCAGCACCGGGGTTATTGCAGCGGTAAGGAGCGGAGCGAACACCGGGAGAAGAGGTGCTGGGGAAAGGCAGGGTTAGATCAGTGTCTCGCCGATCTCTACAGGAATAAGGAGCACGCTGGATGTGTTAGATGCTGGAAGGACCAGAGGCAGGCTGGCGTGTCCCTGGGAGGATTTGCAGGCCAGACTTGGCTGGCTGCTTGCTGTCGGCAGCCAGGCGCTCGCAGGCAAACCGGGTCAGTGTCTGCCATCGCCCTGGTGCAGGGCAGGGATCATGTCCTATCGTGACCCACGGCAGCCAGCCCCCGTCCCAGAGAAGATGTGGGCGGTGCTTGCTCACATGTGGGTTATAAATGGCCCAGCAAGGACCTGCCATCTCCCATCTCTGGCGTGGGTGCGCAGGGTGAGTGATGCTTGACACCGGGGTAGGCAGGAGGTGGGGTGGCAGCACTGGGACGGATTTTCCCTTGCGGCATCCTGGAACAGGGGAGACGTTGCTGTTTTGTGAACGAATTTGAGCAGCTGCTGTCAGAGGCACTGGGGAGCAATGACAAAACGCATGAATCATGACAGACATCCCTGGGGACGTTAAGTTCTGATGACAAGGTGGACTGGCAGGAAAGGCTGCAGGGTTAGGTTGAGGGTCTCCTGCACCTCTTTAAAACTGAGTTCAAGAAACTAACCAGCATTTAATGGGTGGGGGAAAATTGGGACAAAAAGCTGTAAAACAAAAAAACGTGCAAAAGTTTAGAGGTTGTTTTGTTATATTTTTTAATAGGACAAGCATCCTGTGCTCCCCCAGCCCCACAGTGAGCAACAGTGTGCACCGCCCCAGTGCGAGACAGAGCTGGGAGAAAAAGGTGAGCCACTATCCTCCAGAGATTTAGAGTTTTCCCTCCATCCCTAACTGCTTTTTTTTTTTTTTTTTATCCTCTTTCAGTCTCTCCTCCTTCCTCCTCGTCCTCCTTCTCCTCTCTTGTTAGCTGGTTGGTGGGGAGAAGCAGAGGCTGAAGGGTTGGATAAGACAAGGCATCCTTGTCCAGCAGCCCTCCTGACCCCTGGCACCCTCAGGCTCTGCACGGTAGCTGCAGCACTGGCTGCCTTGGCAGGCTATCAAAAGAAACTTCCGAACACTGAGATGTCAAGGGCTGGGAAGAGATAAAAACTGGCTTGAGCAAGCCATTTCTTGTCTTAAAACTTGGCACCTGGACCTATCGAGGCAAATGTATGAACGGCACAGCCATTCATTAGAGGGGAAGAACCTTGAGATTTTAATTTTTACTGCAATTTTTATATATATATGTCTATATAATTTTTTATTAATTTTTTTTTTTTAATTTCCTGGGAGGTTCCATTGTGTGTATGGTGTGCAGCAGGGGAGAAGGAAATATGTGCTCTGGGAATTGCCTCAGCCTCCCTGCTCCGGGGAGCAAATGCTGCAAGAGATTAAACCAACCTGGCTGCCTTAGCATGGCACATTCCTGAGTTGCATTAACCAGGCTGGAAATCTGTATGTCAGAGTAGTGGCAAACTGGAAAAAAGCACTTTATCTTCACCGTAGCTGACAGAGGGCCATGTGCTGTGTGTAATATCTGAGTGTCAGCGTCTGTGAGATTTCTTTTCCTTCCCCTTTCTCCCATCCTGCTTCTTTTTTGCAGTCTGTGCCTCTGTATGCTGACTCCTCTCCTTTTCCCTGATTCTTGCCAGCAACTCAAACCCTGGGGTGGGCAGAGAAATCACAGAATGGTTTGGTTTGGACGTTAAAGATCATCCAGTTCCAACCCCTCTGCCATGGGCAAAGACATCTTCCACTCGACCAACTTGTTTAGAGCCCCATTCAAACCTGGCCAACACTTTCAGGGATGGGGACTAATTTTACTGAATTTTGGTGGTTTTTTTACTTTGAATAAGATCACCCTCATCAGGAAAAATTGAGACTTAAAGGCAAGTTTGTGTTGTGACAGACGGGTCAAACGAGATGTGATTCCTCAACCCTGTAATGTCTGAAGTGACACATGTTCATGGGGCTTGTGTCACTAGTCTCCAGGCGGGGCAGGAGACATCCCTGACCTCAGTATTTTCCTCCTCATCCTTGAGAATGAGACGTCTGTAGGAGGTGAGGACAAGTTTCACAGAGCAGGATGGAGGAGATCCTTTCTCCAAAGCCCTTTAATCCCAGTGCAAAGGTTCAGTTCACACAGGAGGTGCAGCCCCTCTCTCTATCCAGGACAAGAGTGTTGCAACCTCTTGCAAGAGATCACCAAGTCAGAGGATTATAGGGTAACTCTGAACCTTGCCAGTCTCATACAGTGGGGGAGAGCACTGCTTTTCTGGACCATCCCCAAATGTTCCATGGCGATGTCTCTATCTCCTATGTTCACAGCATGGTGCATGGTGGCCTCTCCTGGCATTGAGGGAAGGAACAGGGTGCAAGGAGTCAGCACTATGTAGCCCATATGAGGGGCATGTATGAGGATGTGATTTGGGGAGTCTTACTCTGCCTGTCTGTGCAATCAGAAAAAATTGGGTTAGGAATTGGCTTAATATATGGTTAAATGGTAAAGAAGATGGTTGTCTGCATCCTGGATGACTCGCAGCATCTCCATATGGCAGAAGTGCCACAGAGCAGCACCAAAAGCAAGGGCCAAAGATTGGGGCAGAATGGAGGCAGGAGAGGTGAGCAGCACAAGTGGGCAGAGGTCCCTGGAGAGGCAGGCATGCTGTTGGCTGTCACCAAGACTGCAGCCACACTTCAGAGTCCATGAACACTGATTTGAGAGGCATTTAAATACTTCTGCACCACAATCACCTCCCCAGATGTCCCCTTCCCTGTCTTCTGGACTGACTGCCCATTTTGCAGAGGACAAAGCAGGGCTGGTGTCCCTAGATTATCCAGGCAAGGCAGGAGCTGGACATGGTGCACAAGGACAGCAGTAGCATTTGGCTGGACCAGCTGTGGCAGTGGCAGTGTTGGCTGGAGGCTTTTGCACAGGGTGAGACCAGACTATCCTGACTTGTTCTCCCTTCCCAGTTAAACACAGGGATGGTACCTCCATCCCCATACAGGAATAAACACCTTTTGGTCCTGGTGCTAGTAATTCTTAAGGTGTCAGGAGGGAAACTGAGGCATGCATATGAGGACTCATGGTAGCATCAGTGGTGAGAAATGGGTCCAGCTGGGGAAGTGGCTCTCCCAGCCCACTTCAGATGATCTTTATCCAAAATACTGCACCAGCCAAGAAGGATTGGAGGATCCTGGACCAAGGATGGGAGGAAAAAGCTGAGGAGATACCATATCACTGGGGCAATGGAACATCATCTGGGGTGGGAACCATGGCAGTGTCAATGCCCTGCTGGTAAACCCTTTATCAACTTTACCTAGATCCCCTTCCCCTCCCCAAATCCCCCTTCCCAAATCTTGTAGGAGACCCACTAGGTGTAGCAAATGTCTCATGTGCCCTGCTGGGGTGGGGGCAGCTCCTGAAGCCCCAGCTGATGCTCTACCATGCAGTTTTACTGGCCTTCATTGTTTGCAGCATCATGATGCAAGAATTATTGAAGGGGGGGCAAAGAAAGGCCATGAGGGGAGTGAGATGGGAGCCTCCAGCTGTGCTGTTTGCAACAATAATGGCCAGGATTGTATTTATTATTTCCTCAGTGGAGGGTCTGCAGCTGCGTGCTGAGAGCCACAGACGGCAAAGGGGCCCAGAGATTATTGTGCATGGAAAAAAAAAAACCAACCACAAAAATAAATAAAAAGCCCACAAAGAAGCCTGGGCCAGCTGGAGCAGTGCCAAGGGGCACCCAGCCTAACTCCCGGTCTCCCCACTTTGTCCTTCCTTATTGAAGTCAGCAGCCCCGCAGGGCTGTTAGAAGGGAGGTTGGCAGCTGCTGCCTTTCAGAGAGCTAAAGCTGCATGGGGTCCTCTTAAAATCCTCCTGCCAGGGCGGGAGGTGTTGCCCAGCCAGGGTGAATTTGTTTTCCCTCTGCTTTTTCATGATTTTTGCCAGTGCTGTTGCACCATGCCCAAGGCACTCTATCAGTGTTTGGACACCTGGTTTGCAGCCACCTCTGATTCAATAGACTCAATTATCTTGGAGGTCTCCTCCAACCTTGATGATTCTCCAATTCAAGGAAAAATAACTGGAAAACCATTAGAGATACAGGATAATGGGGCTGTATTGAGCTACTTGCGCTTGGAGGGCTGTGTCTCACCAGGAAAGGACAGAGATATCATCCCAGGATATATTACCTTCTCCTGGCAGCATCCCTCCTCTCTTTTGCTTCCTTCCCCCTCCCAAACTCAGCTTCTCCAGGGGAACCCATCTATGTCTACCCATGCAAGCATGATCCTTCTGCAGCTCAGACCAGCCCTCTGAGGTGGCTGGAAGCAAACCAGGTCAGAGGTATGGGGTATATCCATAGACATCACACCTTTCCCTCATTGACCAGATAGCTGCTGGTGGGTCCTTGCAACCTGCACTTTCCTGAGGTGGAACAGTGGATGTGCCATCCCAGCTACATGTATGGCATGTGGCATTTCCCAGCTGGGCACAATGACATGGCTAATCAGTTCTTTTAACAGCTAAAACCAAGTATCCATCATGGGTAGGTTTCATCTCCCTGTGCTGCACCTCTTAACATTCCTTGCTACCATATGGTGTTCATCCCAGAGTGCATTCCTCTAGAATTATATCATGTCTCTGAGAGCTGGAGTGCAAGGAAAAAGTATCATTGTAGCAGAAGCCGCCACAGGAACTGGCTGGGCAGTCAGGTGTTCATCACCAAGGACTGAGGCTTTAGGAGAAGCTTGCTGTGATCATTTTAGCTTTCAATAATTGACAAGTTAAGAAAGAAGGAGGGTTTAATCCTCCCCAGGTTACCGCTGTGATTTATTAAAGCCTGAGTACTCACAGGTTCCCTTTGTGCCTCACAGTGAGTCCTTGGCCATTGGAGATGATCAGGCAGGGGGATTTGTTTGTAGCTTCACCAAGTCTTTCTACAGCAAAATGCTGTAAAGACTGACATAAAACCCTGTGTAAGCCTCTCCTTTGGCTATGAGGAGCCATGTGAAGGGCTGGTCTGTTCCCGAGTTTGTGCCAAAATAGCAGAGACCTCCCTTTCTGGGACATGTCACTACGATAAAAATTCTATTTGGGCTGAGTTTGAGGTGTGTTAAGAAAATATTTGTGTTCCTGGCTGAGATGAGGTCTCTGTTATACTCAGTGAGTGCCAGGACACTGAGATCTCCTGTTCCTTGAAATGCTCACAGTTAAAAAGCAGAGAGGGGGAGGATGAGAAATAGGGGTTGTTGTGGGTAAAAGAATTCATAGTGGTCATGGCTGGGGTGATTTTAGAGCAAGAGAAAGTCCTGAGCTCTTACATCCCTTGCAGGCACCTTTGGTTGATTCCCTGCAACTCTGGGCTGCTGGGAAGCAGCGTGTGGCTGCCAACGCTCCCAGCTTGAGCTGTCCTGCAGCTGGTATAGCCAGGAGGCAATGGTGGGGCTGGGATGCTCACATCCTGTCTGCTCCCAGCAAACCCTGTGAATCCCTCCTGGTGTTACTGAGAGGTGCTACACCACTCCAACACCTGCCTTCCCCTGCCCCCAGCCGCTCAGGAGGTTTGGCAGACAATTTCCTTTCGGGAATGCCCCCTCTGGGCACAAGCACAGCTTGACTTGAGGCTGGAGAGCAAAATTGCCTTCAAAAACCACAGGAGACTAATTCCTCCACCTGGAGTAAAACTGCTGTTATCCTGACAGCTTCCTGGGCTGAGCAGAGGAAGGAATTTCATGCAAACCCTGGTGCCATGGTGATTTAATTCCTAATTTGCCCGTGCGGGAGGTAGCACCAGAATTTTCCCACTCAAGGCAAAATTCCTGGGAGCTGGGCTGCTGTTTGCTCACAAAATGTGGCTTTTCAAGGCATGCAGCTCTCAGGGTGGCAGAAATTCTATTTCAGCCATGGATATAAATGAGCTGGAACTTACTGTATGGGCTGGCAGACCTGCCTGCACATGTTTCCTTTTGTCAGAGCCCAAAATACACCACCCCGCACCTTAATTTCCTCCTTCAGGGATGAGGGATGCTGGAGGGGAAAGCTTGCACAAGTGGAATAAACTATAAGCTATTTAAACACTAGGATGATAAATTATCTGTGACCTCTTGCAATGCAGATGGGATTTGTGACATTAACAGTTGAAACAAAGATTATTTTAATAGGTCTCTCCATTTCTTTATTAAATAAAGGAATTTTTTTTACATTTAAAAAGTTAGAGCAGAGACTTTCAGTTGAGCAGGAGTGTCAGTCTCTTTTCCCAAGTAACAAGCAATAGGACAAGAGGAGACAGCCTCAAATTGCACCAGGGGAGGTTTAGACTGAAACTGGGGAGAAATTCTTTACCAGAAGGGTTGTCAAGCGTTGGAAGAAGCTGCACAGGGAAGTGGTCAAGTCACCTTCCCTGGAAGTCTTTAAAATACGCATAGATGTGGCACTTGGGGACATGGTTTAATGGTGGATTTGGCAGTGCTGGGTTACCAGTTGAATTCAATGATCTTTTCAAACCTAAATGATTCTATATTTGAAAACAGACCCATAATGTGGAGCTGTAGGGTTCCCTATAGATCAGTCCTACATATCTTCTCTGCAGCCTGGTTGGTGGCTTGAGGGGAAGCTTGGTTTTTGCTTTGGGCTTGTGAAAAGCTTCTGATGCTTAACAATTTGGCTTTGGCCTTGCTCATCTTATCTACCCTATTCCCTGTAACTTCTACAAAAATCTTCCTAAAGGATGGAGGACGTGGGTCAGATGCTAAGAAATTATTGCTGTTTTGGCTCAGGAATTTCTCTATATCCAGAGAGGAGAAAAGTGAATGGAAATAACTAAGGTCTGGGTAAAATGAGGAATGGTGTCTTGTTTTTTCGTTCCTTGCCCCTTCTGGCTGTCCACGACCCAAATTCCATGGGTTTTGGTGAGATTCAACTTATGCAAAGACAGACCTGATGCAGAGCTGTGGGGTTCTTGTTCAGTGCTGGGAACAGCATCTTGTCTCTCTGCTTTCTCCACTCTTCACTAGTCTCCTCTTGGACACTGAGCCATTGATTTCAACTCTTTTGAGTATGACCATCCAGCCCATTCCTTGTCCACTGAGTCATCCATCATCAAGTCCATATTTCTCCAAAGAGAGTAAGATGTTGTGTAGATTAGTGTCAAATGCTTTGCACAAATCCAGGAAGTTAACAACTCTCTTTCCTCATCCACCAACACTGTAACAGCATCATAGAAGGCAATGAAATTTGTCCAGCCGGATTTGCCCTTAGTGAAGTCATATTGGCAGTCGCCAATCACCTCCTTATTTTCCATGTGCCTTAGCAAAGTTTCCATGAGGATCTGCTCCATGATCTCTCCAGGCAAAATAATTAAAGCAGAAAGAAATTCATGGAGAAATATTTTATTTTTTTCTTTCTCATTCCCTGAATTTAATTCTGATTTTTCCCAGTAAGCAAAAAGATGGAGTAAAAAGTGTTCAGGCACCTGCAGGAGGATTTTTAGCTCCTGTTCAGGCCCTTGGTGTCTCTTTACATAAGGGCTAAAGCTGCCATCCCAGTGTCTGAGTATCCCCTCATCCCAATGCTTGTATGCACTGATGAGGGAAACAGGGTTGCACATCCCTTTCTTTATATTCAGTTGGGTAACTGGGGATAGCTCTGCTGTCTGAGAAGCTTTGCAGTACCCACTGATAAAACCATCAGTGTGAAGTGAAGGATGATAACTTATCCCTCAAAAGTGACTTGTGCAATATCTCCCGATGAAGTGCTCCAAGTGCAATTTGGAAGAGCCAAGGGACTAATTCTCATCCTGCTGTTACTGACACCTAGAATAATTCCACTGAACTCTCTCAAACCCATCTAACAAATGCAGGATCATACATAAAAAGCAGATACTTTTTGGATTCCCATTAGATTTCCCCTCCCTAAATCCAAAAAGTCATAAACACTGAGTATAAAACCAGGACTGCTTGCAAAGTGTCCCCCAAACGAGCAAACAACAAAAAGTAACAAACAGGTCAGAAAACACCACTCCCATTTACACTAAAGCATCTTTGTGAGGTTTAATAATCTTTACTGAGAGAGTATATACAGCTCTTTTCTGGTGTGCATATGGGGAGCCCTTCTGCAGGAAGAGCCAGTCTGAAGCAGGTAAAGCAAAAGCCTGGGTGACCTTTACTTTCAGTGGATTCACCAAAAAAAAAAAAAAAGTAACCTTGTCAGCAGCAGTCTCTTTATTATGGAAGGGGGGTGTGTCTGCAGTTAAGGGTTTAATGATCACAGGGTGTAGGCTAGTTTGAGCTAGTTTTGCTGTTTGCTCAAATTGGTGTATGGGATCTGGAGACCTGACCACGATTGCATCTGTGGTGTCATTTGAGCTCAGCCTGGGAGAGTCCACAGTGGAACAGTGTAGCTGCTGCTAGTGCTGCACTTTAGTCAGTAATTATTCTAATTTTACAGAATAATTAATGGGTGGAGAAGTGGGAGAAAGGTCTCTGCTGCAATTCTGTTGTTGAAGAAGCAACTCTGGAACATCCTGGTGCTCTGGAGACACCATTCCAGCTGCCAGTTAGCCTCCCTGATATTTTAAGAGAGGAAGAGCAAACTCTTTTTTTTTTTTTTTTTTCCCCAGTCTGGAGGATTTATGGCCTCTGTCATAACCTATGTACTTGTTTCACTTTCCAGTAAAATTCCTTTTCCCTGACCCCAATTAGTGTTGGCAGCCAAGTGGGCCTGGTGAGCTTTGCTATAAAGACTTTGTTTTTTCTTTACTTGGCTGATGCAAGAGACAGAATACAATCCCAAAATTTTCATTCTGATGAAATACTGTTGCTAATACAACTTCTCTGTCCTTTGCTATAACAACAACTCTATTTGGGATAGGTGGACTTCTGCCCTTCCTTTTTGCCTCTTTTCTTTGAAAGTTGCTCTATTTGCTGTTCATCCAGAATTACTATTGGAAAAAAACCTCGGAAATTACCAGGATCTGTCCACCATGCCTTACATATTCATGTCATATCTGATCTGCTCTAACTGTGGGCTGCCATGGAAAAGACAGATCCTGTTTTTCCCACTCCTGTGTCAGAGCTGGTAACCCTGTGGCTGATCACCCTGATTTGTTGGAACACTGACCCAGCAAAGGGGAAAGAGGAAGTTTAGGGGTTTTCTGCTGGATGAGTGAGCTGATCTGGTTCATCCCAGTGTGCCTTGTTATTGGGTGGAATTTGGGTTTGGAAGAAGCAGTAACAAGGGAGAGTGGGCATCCTATTCTGCCATGGACAAGCGAGAAAGGGTATCTCCAAGAATGTGTCTGGTCTTAGGTAGGTTTCATCCCCTTCTAGAGCAATTCCTTTCTCTTTGCCGCACCGTAGAGAAAGCTTGATGTTTTTGCACTTCTTACTCATGTACCTCAAGCTTCATTGGGTGACTTTGGGTCTTCGGCCCCAATTCCAGCTGCATTTCAGCTGACACTTTGCTGAAGTCCATGTTCTGGGAGGCTGAGGAGTGCAGAATGAAGAATGAGGCAACTATGTTGCAACTACATCAAACAACAAACTTTAAAACACCTTCCTTTGTATAATTTTGTAATTATTCCTTCATTTTTGGCTATAGGGAATTCCATCCTGGTGATTGCCAGGGCAACTGGAGGTAGCCTAGGTAGCATTCTCTTAATATCTGTATTCTTGATGAGGGGGACCAGTCCCCAAGCAATGGGGTTTCATCCAGGGGATGATGTGTTAGCTCATCTCCCTAATGAGAAAAGTCTTTAAGGGAGAGGAGAAGGAGGAAATCAATTGTAGTGAGAAACATGGATTTCCAGCAACACAAGAAAGAAGGGTTTCCTCTCTTCCACCTCTCTCTGCCATCAGCTAAGACCTGGGATTCCTCTGCAGTCTGGTTTTAAAATCAGATTTTAATACTGGGGGCTTTTTGGCGGGGAAATCTCAGTGTGAGTTTTCTGTATGGATCCTGCCACACAATGTTGCAGTGGATCAGCACAGCAGGGATAAGGTATCAGGGCATCTCTAGGCTCAGGGAGAGATGTGGGATTGGGGAAAAGGCTAGAACCCTTCTAAGAACTTTATTCAGCATTGGCTCCACTAAACACCACTGGTTCCTTGAGGTTGTCTCAGAGTATTTGCCATGCAGAAGGGATGAGCAAGTTATAAAGACCAGAGCCCTGGGGCCACTATGAGCACCTGAAACACAGGGGACAGTGTTGCACCCCCAGCAGCTTCTGTTGAAATCAGTGGGTATAACAAGTCCCCTAGACTGTCAGATGGCCAAAACTTATCACTGGGATCTCTGCACACCTCAACAGCCATAGAAACAAAGATGTCATGGCTGAACCAGCCCTAGGGTGGGCTGCTTTGTCCCAGTGACTTTCCCCTCACTATCCCAGGTGATGCTGCTGGTGGTTCCTGGACCATGGTGTTTCCCCTGGGTGAAGCTCTCCAGTGCTGAAAGAGGATAACTCCTCTTCATTTTACGAGGGGATACCTTGGCTTTCTGCCTTTATCAACAAAGCAGCTGGTAGGCAGCAATCCAAAGGCAATTTGATGCAGTTTCAAATGCACACTGTACACAGATGAACTGTAAATGCCTAGGGCATGTTTCTTTCCCCATTTCAAAGAGAGCTATCGATTGCTCCACACAATGATAAAGCATGTCTGTACATGAGTAAGTTCTTTGTTGATTATCTGGCAATGCAGGAGTCTCTTTCTTGGACCAAAAGATGACCAGTAACTATTTCTCCTATCTTTCATCAGTGCTATTAACCAAGTGGCATGTTAGCCTATGAATGCTTCATAGTGCTCCATAAGGGAGTTTTTAACTGGAAGTAATGGATTGTATCCCATCAGCAAAGCAATTGGAGAGCCAGTAAGAGAGAATTTGTGGAAGTGCTGTTAGGAGGGAAGAAGCAATATATGCTGTGCAAATACCTCAGCTGGGCTTTGTGTACTGCTTTTCAGCTGTGAAGGGTTTTGTCTTTGCTTCTGGCTGGAGTGATGGATGTTGCAATGGGAATCATTGTATCTGCCCACTTCTGGCAATCATTTTTGAGGCTGATCAGGAAGGGAATTCCCATGTCAAACAGGATTTGAGCAGCCACATATCAAAGCCTACCACTGGTTTTGATTCTTCTCTCGGTTTGTAGAATCACAGAATAGTTTGGTTTGGAAGGGACCGTTTAAAGGCCATCCAGTCCATGTCCCCCACAATATGCAAGGACATCTTCAACTAGATCAGGTTGCTCAGAGCCCCATCCTACCTGGTCTAGAATGTTTGCAGGAATGGGGCATCTACCACCTCTCTGGGCAACCTGTGCCAGTTTTTTACCACGCTCATCAAAAAAGATTTTTTCCTTACATCTAGTCTGAGTCACCCCTGTCCTAGTTTAAAACCATTGCCCCTTGTCCTGTCACTACAGGCCCTATTAAAAGTTTGTTCCTAGTTAAGCTAGGACTTTGGAGATTGTCCTCTTTCTTCAAATGCCCCAGCAGGAGCCTATGAATTTCTCAGCAGTGCTCAGAAAGTCAAATATCACAATGGTCTGTCTTTGGACTTGCTGGTGTGTGATACAGCTCCCTTCACAGCCAAAACAATGCCATAAGGAACTGAGCTGGGCTCTTGAAGAAGTTGGGAGGTATTTTCCATGTTGAGATATCAACGAGGAATAGCCACTGGGTGAAATTTGGGAGAAGAAATACCAGTAGGCTGAGCTGACACTAATGTGGGTACTTCCCATGAGACATTTAACATTTACTTTTTTGCAGGTTTAGTTTAAAAGGAGCTCCCTACTGCTGTAACTTTCCCTGGTAATAAAACATTTCAGTGCACTCCAAATGCAGCTCAATGAAAAAAGAAAAAGAATACTATTTGTTTTTACGAGGGACTGCAGAGGGGAGCAAGCTCTGTCTCTGCACAGAACCAGAGGGGATCAACCTTGATGTCATTAGGAAAGGGATATCTGGAAACACATCTGCAGAAAAGAGCTCTGCCCTGTGTAGAAAAGAGCTGTGTCCTCTCTGCACACATATGTGTTTTCTCAAGAAACACTTGAGATGGGCTGAGACTAGGGCTCATCTTACGAATTTTCTGTTGTTTCTATAGAATAATGGACCCCAGAGGATTACATGTTGGCCTTTAGCAATGGTTTGGTTGCAGGCAATTTGGCCAGAGTCCCAATCTCTGCTCTCTATTTGCAGGAGGTCTGGGAGACACTGCCAGACAGCTCATATCGGTGATCAGGACAGTATTTCTGCAGTATTTTTTCCCCTTTGCATTTCTTTTGCATATTGGCAAGTAGTTCCCAGTCAGTCTCCTGGGAATGAGAGCCAAGAAGATCACACTGAAGAGGGAGAGAAACTGATGCCAAAGGGTGGGTGAGGGAAGATGAAGTGTGAATTTCTAGGAAATGGTCTTGGGAACGTGCAAGGGCTGTGGGGAAGGTGCCTCAGGCAGATCAAAGAGTGTGTGGGAAAGATGATACTGCAAGGAAGTTAATGAAGTGCTTTTAAAGAGCGGTGGGAAAGGTGAGAATAGAGACCAGGGAGGCTGAGGTAATGATGGGAACATGCATTTCAAGGGGCATTTTTTACTTTCTTCTTGTTAAATAAGTGCTTGACACATGAGTGTCTGTTTATGGCCAGCAGTATAGCCAAGGACTCGTACTGATGGATCTGCTTGCCTGGTTTGGTGGGATTTTTTGTTGCTGGCCTCCTGGAGACCTTGTTTGTAAAGCATGAGGAGTCATCACCCATGACTGCAATGGGAACCAATGAGGACACTCCTTGCTGCCTCTGCTTACCTTTAGGATGCTGGCATGCTCCAGTTTACCTTCTCCAGAGATGCAGAGTTGAAGCTTTTTTGGCTGTCTCTTGAAATCATGCAGCTGCTGTTGCCCACAGTTGTATGAAGGAGCTGTTAGGATGTGATCTGAAGGTGTCCAGCAGAGCCGGGGAGGTGCAGATCAGCTCTCTGCTTCCCTTGTCTGTGATTCTGAGGGACAGAAATGTTTTGGATGGAGGAGGGTCAAAACCAGAGGGGTGGAGAGAGCTTCTTGCTTGCTGGCATTGTTAATCAGAGAGACTACTTAATGTAATTAGCAAAAGCTCCCCAGAGGCTCTACATGAAGCGAATTGTCTCTCTCCACTGTGCAGGAGGCTGGGCCCACCACAGCAAAGTCTGGGTTATACTGAGCAACCCTTGGTTCCTCTGCTCTGGTAGGTGGGGAGCCAAGTGGCTGTTGTCTGCCCTACTGCCACCAGCCCAAGGAGGGTTGTTTTTAGCCACCTGATAGAAAACCATGATCATACCTACCTGAAAATTTTAAATTCACTTCTGAAGCCTAAGCAAGGGAGACATTGTGTCTGTTTGGACAGTAAGCAGCTGGCCTTTTTAGCTGTTCATCCTGGATGTTGTTTTGATGATGCCCTTATCTCTGTTGCCTACAGAAAATCTGAATGGAACTTTTTTTTTTCCTCTTCTGATAAGGCTTTTGGACACCTAAGGCTCTCACAGTCTAAATGATTTCTCCAACTTGTCAATTTAGGGTCTTTAATTCGGTGCTCCCAAATCTCACAGGGATGCTCTGACAAGAAGACCTTTGTGTGCTGAAGTTTTCCAGGTTGTAAAATGACTCAGTGTTTGAGCTGTCATTTAGCTTCTTCCATGGTCCAGTCAAAAGGATGCATGTTGAATAGATCATGCTTTAAGGCAGCCTACTGTTCTTGCAGCTCATTTCCATTTGTGTGGAATATGTTGGATACTGAAACATATAACGTGATTATATGTGCAAAGACTGTTGACCCAATATGTTTTCTCATTAAGTTCCCACTGGGGTATTTGGGATATCCATGCTATTTAAGGGTATTCTTAACCTATCCCTTTGGAAAGAGAGAGGAGAAGAATGCATAGCTCAAAGAGTTACACATCTTCCCTGAAGTAATTTCTACAGCAATTAAATCTGTTTTCTTACTGTCTTGTTTTCCAGGTACAATGCAGTTCCTGGCCTGGCTCAATTTGCTGCTTCTCCTTCCTTGTTTTGGTATGACCAAAACCTGCTTCCCTGGCTGCCACTGTGAAGTGGAAACCTTTGGTCTCTTTGACAGCTTTAGCTTGACCAAGGTGGACTGCAGTGGAATAGGCTCACATATTGTTCCTGTCCCAATACCTCTGGATACCTCCTATTTGGATCTATCATCAAACAAACTGGAAACAATAAATGAATCAATGCTTATGGGTCCTGGCTACACCACCCTGGTGAGTCTTGACCTGAGCTACAACAAAATTGCCAAGATTTCCTCCACAACCTTCTCCAGGCTTCGGTACTTGGAGTCCTTGGATCTGAGTCATAACTCTCTGGAAGTCCTTCCGGAAGACTGTTTCTCCAGTTCTCCTTTAAGCGACATAGATTTGAGCAATAACAAGCTCTTGGGTATAGCAATGGATATTTTTGCATCAAAAGGTCAAGGAAAATCCCTGAATGTGGATCTATCTAATAATATGCTCAGCACAATTACAAGGCACCGTGAAAAGAGCATCCCCAACATCCAGAATTTAAATCTTTCTGGAAACAGGCTAACTTTTGTGCCAAACCTCCAAGGCATTCCTCTCCGATATTTAAATCTTGATGGGAACCCTGTAGTTAAGATTGAGAAAGGAGACTTCACAGGGCTGAAAGATTTGATTCATTTATCCCTCAGTGGCCTGCGTGGCTTTCGAGAGTTATCTCCTCATAGCTTCAAGGAACTCTCAGCCCTTCAAGTTCTGGATTTATCCAACAATCCCAGCTTGAGTTCACTGACTGCTGAAGTCATCCTTGGTCTGAACTCCCTACAAGAGCTCAACCTCTCTGGGACAGGTGTGTCATCCTTGCCAAAGACTGTGCTGAAATATCTGCCTTCCATCAAAAGCATCACCTTGGGGAAGAACGTACAGTGTCTTAAGACCATCAGAGAAGGACAGTACCACCGACAAATTGGGCTGACCAAAAAAGAAGTCCTCAGTTGCTATGACAGCCATGGGTCCGTAGTAGCAGCACCTTATGTTTCATGATGAAAGCTGAGGAGAAGAAGGAGTGGGGCAGGGAGGGTGGGGGGCTATGGGATTTGTACAGGTGTCGGACTGAGATAGCTTGCAGTGTGCCTTTTGTAAAACTGTTAATAATTTATATATTTGTATATTCCAATAGTTGATTGTGGATTTTATAAACTCTCATATCTTGGCCCGCGTTATCTGCAGGCTCCAAACTTTACCTGGTGCATTGTGGTCCTGCACTCATCACGTTGGACAAGAGCAGTGATGCTGGACAACGGGGGCCAAGCTGCTCTGCAGGTCCCAGGGCAGAACAATCAGTCTAGGGCAAACCTTCATGCCTCAGACGTTTGTAGGAGCAAAGCTACATCTTTCCAAAGCACACACCAAAATGTACCAACTCTGTAGCTGCTTACTCACAAACCCATGCATCATCCTTTTTTTAATTATTACTCCCCAAAATGTGCCTTCATTAGCAGCACCCTGTTCTTTATCATGCACTTTCAGTCTTGAAGAAACATTTCCAGACAAAGCTAAATACAGAGTGCTCCTAATATGTTGGGTTTTACATATTATTTACATAGGTGTGCAATAAACACTAAGTCAAGAACTTTTCCCACAAATTTCTTCCTGTTTTTCCATCCTTATCCTTTTCTTGTCTTATTAAATTAGGTCCAGCTTTGGCAACCTCCTATCTTTCTAACCTCAGCAAGCCATTGCTCAGAAATTACGTGCAGCAGAGGAAGGGAAGCAGAGGGGCCTGCCAACAACCCTATCTCATCCAGGAACCAGCCTTTGATGAAGGAGGTTGCAAAGGGAAAAGATCATGGAGCCTGACTTAGGGGGAGATAAAAAAAAAAAAAAAAGAGAGAAAAAAATCCCTCCTCCCTTTCTGGGAAAGCTTGGAAGGAAACTTTGACAGGGATTCTTGTCTTGGCGACCTTATCAAACCAAGATGCAGACCTAGAGGATGTGAGAGTAAGTTGTTTCCATGCTGACATTCCCCATCTGAACACAACATCTGCTACTCATCTGGGCATATGTGAGGCAACTTCCAGCGCCAAAACGCTCTTGAGAATGTGCCAGGGGAAGAATTAGCACTGATGTCAGTGATCGTGGAGCACTTTGCTTATCAGAGAAAAGATCTTGGGGGTTTTTTCCAGAGTTGTGGCTTTTCTTTCTCTCACACAGCTACTTGGCTGACAACCAAAATCTGATAAAAAGCCTGGTCCTCAAAGGTTTGATTGTTTTTTCCTCCACTGTTGAAATGCTGGCAAAGAAAAGGGGAGTCCCTCTGGACCCTCTTCTCCTCCAGGCTAGGAGAAAGTGGGAGAAGGCAGCACAGCATAACTAAATGTCATGCGTGAAGCGTTCAACTTGCATATAGGAGCAATGGAGGTGTCTGCTGAGGTCTAGTCCACATCTGACATGCTCTGTCCTGGGGGATGGGAAGGGATATTGTTAATGGGGTCCTGCTCAAACCGACCTGCAGTTTGATCTGTAAACCCAGCCTTGCATCAGTGTTTGAAACTGATATTGGGAGATCTATGTAAAGGTGATACAGATATAAACCCATCTCACAACTGTCCTTGGGAGTGTTGGAAGAAGCTCAGGCTGCATTCTCACATGCCCAATGGTCTTTGCAAATGGAAACCCTGTTGCTCAAAGCAGCTGACTTCAGGGATGGTTGAAACCCACTGACTCCATAAAAGTCAAAGTCAACACCTCACGTTGGATACTGAAATCTGTCTCCCACATTTCCATCTATGTCCTTTTCAGTAATTTGTTTAGAGACTTTAAGGTGGGATTTTTTCTCCCTCCTTCAGTGTTGGGGCTTTTGCCCCTCTACTGAGCCTTAGCAATGCTCAACCAGCATTCACAGTCACAGAAAACATGTTGATTTTCTTAAAAAGGCAATGGGACTGGTTACTGGTAGAGATCTGAAGGGGAACAGCAACCAACTGCACTGCAAGATGGGGGCAGTTTGTGAGGAAAGAAGTGGGGTTTTTTAGTTGATCTTTCCTTTTTAAGATAATTCTTTTCTGCTGGCAGAAAATGTATTTTTTTAAAAAAGAAAATTGTTTAATTTTTTAAGTCTGTACATAGATGAAACATTAGGGGTATCACCTACTGTCAGAATTACTGTCTTTGCAGTGCTGTGGTAAATTTAAAACTCAATGTGACAATCCAATTGAAGACTGCAAGATTTCCTTGTGTAATCCTGTGCTAGCTGCTAGCTAAACTAGTCTTAGCAAAAGCTGGCAAATACTGTTGCTGTGTTAGTTTGTTTTTTTCAAAGAACCTCTGCAGTATTGTAAGGCTTTGTGATTACTCACAATACAATAAAGTGGTTTAGAGGAGAATAAACCCAGATCCCCCAGATTTATTGCTTTAGTGCTGGGAGGGTGACATCTGTCGCTGAGTCTGAAGTGCAACACAGCTTATCTCCCTGCTTTGCTTACCCCCATCACTGTCACAGGTTTTGCATCTCCAAACTGGGGGCAGGATTTGTCCCACTGTGTTTGGCTCACCGTGCTCTTCGCTGGCAGAAAGGCTTGAGAGCTTCACTGTTTGACTTGAAGGAAATTAGGAGCACATGGCAATGAAGCAGCACAAGAGTATGTCAGAAAAATTCCCTGCTCCAGGATCTGGTCCAAAGGTTATAAGAAGTAGTGGAGATCTCTTCGTGGATTCAACCAATCTGGGACATGGTCTGCTAGTGTAGAAAGGCTGGATTTGCAGCATGGGTGATGTGGGGAGAGGCCACATACAAGTCCATGGAAGTGTTAAAAAACTTGTGGATGTAGTGCTTAGGGACATGGCTTAGTGGTAGACTTGGCAGTGTTGCATTAATGGGTGGACTCCATAATCTTAGAGGTCTTTTCCAGACTTTAGGATTCTGTGATTCTGTGGGTGTGGAAGGGAGCAAAGGGATGCAGAAGCCCTGCCATGACAGAGAAAGCAGCAGACTGACAGACTGCAGAGCTTTCAGCAGTGAGATACACATGATCCTGTCTCAGCACCGTTCTCTGAGGAGTGGGAGCTGCTGCGTGGAGGGCTAAGAGCATGCAGAGCCATTGCACCTAAAGAATAAATAGAAACCTCTCCAGAGGGGTCTTCCTGCTCTTAAATAGCAAATTTAATTTAAGCGCTTCTTGATGGTGTGTATAAAAGTGGTGCAAGCAGAGATTCACTGAGTAAACTGCCTCTTGTAGCTGCAGTGTTCCTGTTGCTTCCAAACCTTAAGCAAGAACTGCACCTTCCAGCCAGGCAGACGGAACTGCAGACTGCCTGGAAGAAACTGTTAGCTCTTCATCTGCTTCCCCAAACTGCACTGTTCTCCAGGATGACATATAAGGTACAATCATACTATAACCTGGGGGGTGAAGTCCCCAGAAGAGGCCAGATGTTGCTCACAGAACTATTATGGACTGTAGGGGAAAAGTCACCACTAACCACTTCAGATGACAGCTCTTCCGGTGTTCACCATAAGGCTGTGACCATTAGGCTACACCACCACACTCCTTTTGGATGGAATCCCTTCTGCCCTGGGGTGTGGGCTCAGTCAGAGCAGTGGAGAATGTCTTCCTCTCCTGGGGAGGGACGCTGTCCTGCGATCCATGGGTCTGAAGCTGTGTTCTCGACTTCCTTGTGAATGCCACACATATATAATGCTCCTTGTCCCTTCCGGTACTCCTTTGGGGCCTTGCCTTAACATCTTATTTTGTTAATGATTTTTATTCATTATTTAATTAATTACTCGATTAATTATTTCTATTATTATTAATTAAAATATTTTAATTATTGTTAATTAAAACTTATTTCAATTGTTATTTCTTATTTAAATACCCTCTCCAAAGTCCTTTGAATGGGAAGAAGCATGTGAGCCTCCCTCAGCGACATGAACCCCCACATTGCCCATGTATGTCCCCTCTTCACCAGTGGGGTGTGAACACCTGAAGCAGCACTAATGACCCCACAGAGCAGGAAAGGCACATGGTGGCTTCAGGGTTGGATAACTTGAGGAAGCCCTCATGCCAGCTCCCTGAAGCTGCTTGATAAAATGGTGTGATGGACACCTGATGTCAGGCATCAAACAGCCACCCATGCCAGGAAAGCCAGCCAGGTTGGTTAGCTGCAAGTTTTGGCTGTCTCCAGAACCAGCTCAGCTCTGTGGCCGGATACATTTGCCCTGGCAAGAAGATGGGCATTTTAATTAGAGGCTGAACATTTTTAGAAGCAGGAAAACCTCAGCAGAGGCTGGGCAATAAGGATAGGCTGGGTTAGGGAGGGGGAAGAGGTGGCTGAGCTGGCATTTGCTTGCAGTGTTAAGTCTCCTGGAGAGTTATCAGCACCTCACTCCTCTTTACAGCACGCTGGGAAAGACACTGAGAGTCGCTTCCCCCCATCCACCTTGTGCCCAGGGCAGCATAGGACAGAAATTATTCTCTTCAATAGAAAGCATGCATCTCCTAGAAGCCAAAAACTCATTTTCTTCTCATCAGTCTGCTGGAGCTGTTTCTCCTGGCTGTCAGCTGTCAGCCCACAGAAGTCACTTACTGACTGATTATGTGACTGACTTCATAACAGCAGTAGGTGCTGTCCCTTTTAAAAATAGCTGCTCCTCCGTACATTTTCCATTTTGCAGGAGGTTTTTATTTCCAGCACGTTTGTTTCACACAACCCTGGCTTGGTCAGGCGGGAAAGCATGGATGTTCTCTTACTATGCCAGAAAATAATGCTGCATGGCTGGGCATAATCCTTCTGCCTGCCCTGGGGTCTGCCTCTTGGGAAAGTTTGGGGCAGCAAAACCCTCTGCCCCATGCCTGTTTGTAGAGCATTATTCCTGCTCCATCACCCCCAAGTTTATTCTTCCTTCCCTTTATGAGTGGACAAGCAGACCTGGGAACCTGATTAAAAGGTGGAAAATTGGAGCTGAAACTAGGCCATCAGATAAATCCTTTCCTGTAATAAGCAGGGAGTTGGAGTACCAGCCCTTAATCACAGCCTTTGTCTCCCAGCATTTGTATGCCTGTGTGCACCCATCCTCAGCGCCAAAACAAACCCTCCCCACTCCTGCCCCATCCCCACCCCTGCACTGCCTTTCGTTAATGGGATTAAAATAAAAGTGGTTTGTGCTGCCACAGAGGAACACCCCAGAGAAAGCAGCAGCCCTCTGTGCCTGCACATCCCTCAAAAAAGCCTTGCCAGCTGCATGGGGATTCAAGCAGGGGAATGTGCTGCCTATCTCCCAGCCCTGTTCACTCCAGTGGCCCAGCCTTCACTCTGGGTGCACCGCAGGGGAGTGAATCAGCCTGTAAAAGAAAAAAACCCTAAGTTTTTCCCCTGGAAACTTTCCCACCACCGTGGTGATGTCCTTTAACCCCTGTCTCTGCCCATCGGGACCTCTGCACCGCAGGCTTCCCTCCCTCCCCCTCCTTGTTAGCGGTAGATGTGTCACAGCACTTGCTGATAATTGACTGGGGCCGTGCTGGGAGTTTGAACCTACATTTCAAAGAGATTGTTAACCTCTTTTTCCAACTCTTTGAACTGCTTTTCTTTATTGTAGGTTAAAGGAAACACATGGCTTCTTCCTCCCAGAGCCCCTTTTGATGGGAGCCTGGCACATTAGAGCTGGTGGATTTTTACCAACAATGATGTTGGTAGCATGGTGATGCCAAGCGGCATGTGATGATGCATTTTGGTGCAATCAAGGTGCCGCTTGATTTCAGATGGGATTAAAGATAAAGAACAAGAGGACAAGAGGGCACAGTCTTAAGCTATGTCAGAGGAGGTTTAGGTTGGAAATTAGGAAGAAATTTTTTACAGAGAGTGATCAGAC